GAAAACTGTTTCTCTTATTTGGTCTGTATACTGTGTCCATGTAACACCAAGTATTTTAGACCACTCAAATTAACCGGAAAAGCTTTTCTTGGTTTACAAATCAGTCACAGTAACTGGACTAAGGTAATATTTTGGCCATGTTGAAGGAGGCTAAGCACACTTCACATCTGATATTGCAACATTTTTACAATATAGTTACATCTCTGTTCCAATTCCAGCAATCCTCTCTGATTACCCCCAAAAGACCCTACTTTTCTTTTCTTTTTTTTTATTCCATAACACCAATACAGATCTAGACATGCATTTGCTGTATTCCACAAGCACAGAGGTGCAACCAATGAATTGATAAACATGAATCTGTTTTCTGCAGACCTCCACTTCTTTAGTTTCATGAGGAGCTTAGCTAACCCTAGACATTAAATTTCTAATGCCCACTTTCATTTCAATCACAGCTCAGTTACTCATCAGCCCTAAGAAAAGAAACACCAAGTCCACACATGAATCTTATTCATCATAAATAACATGATCAAAGAATTTCTCTAGCTCAGTCTCTGACACTTTCTAAGGGTTCCCTTGGATGCAGGATGAAAGCAAGCTGTGCCTCTCTGGCACTGTTCTTTTAGACCACAGCTCACTCCCTGGTAACCCTTGTTGTTAGTGAATAATGAATGGGTTTGATCACATCACAAGGGAAAAAAAAGGTTTGGTCAATAGGCTGGCAAGTGAGTAAATAGAAATACACAGACAGAGGAAAACACTAAATTTCACAATTGCTGAATCTCACTCTAATCTTTCAGTTTAACCTAAAGCAGGTATATTTCATCTGGGCTCATTCATATTTTGATATGGGTTCTATATTTACACTAAGCAGGTGATCACTTCCAGTTTTCGCCTTTCCCAGTTCCAAAACACACCATTTCCCCCCAMCACCACCCTATCAGCTTTCCAAAGAGCACAACCAGGCCCCCATGCCTGAATGAACTATTCAAACTCACAGATACTAAAAGACACACATTATTAGAACTCAATTTCTCTTTCACCATTTACACTACAATTAATCCCTCACACTCTCAAATACACCAAACTATTTAYGTGAAGGTTTCCAGCCACCTTTAATATTGTATTTCAATGGAAAAGAAGGATGTGCATAACTCTGCTCCCGGTCTGAATATAAGGCTGGACTATTCACATGTTTCATTAAACAAACCTTTGGCTCAACATTCTCCCTCTCAAAATATTTTCCTCACAATCCYCTTTGCAAACAACAGTAGGAGTCCTGAAGAACTCTCTGCTTACAGAACTCCTCCCTCTGTACTCAGCAAGAACATCACATGCTCCAAGGGAAGACTAAGTTTCTTTACCACTTTCTTCTGCATCTATTTATTGATGCTTCATTGTCAAAGCATTTCAACTTTCAGACTGAGAAGCAACACACTTAAAATCTCTGCTGGTAGAACCACAAGCATTCAAGCTATTACCTCAAGCCAAAAAGCAGTTCAGTAACACKACGTCACTTCCCAGAAAACTCAGCCAAACCATGCTGAAACACTATCAACAGGGTATTTTAACTGCAGGGATTAACATTTTGACATTTCACAGCTTTCTGTAGAATTTGGTGGTTTTGGTACAGAATACACCAGATTGGCATCCAGGATTTTTATCTCGCCATGTGCCTGAATCAACACCTTTCTCTATCCTCTAAAACAGAAAGAGAACTACACAACATAAGCRGTCATTTCCCCTTCCTGATGCCAATACAAGTTGGGAAGAGAAAATGAAACCGGTTTAACCTGTCAAAATTTTCTCACTTTGCCCTTTTACCAACACATGTTGAGGAYCCACAGAGGAACCCACTAAGAAGAGCAAGAGCTTTCAACCCTCTAACCATTCATTCCCAGTACCAGTGAGCTCTCATCTCCAGCCGTCAAGTACTGTCCCTAAGAAGGGCATTTAACAGACTTCCTTACTGAAGATCCACAACAGCATCATGACTCTTCAAAGCTGAAATATTATTTTAAGAAATCGACAGTACCCTAATTAACAGTGGAGCGTAATGTTTCTAGTGCAGAAGAGGAYTCCACTGTCAGAATACTAATAATCTGTTTAATTATAGCCTGAAAAATGAAAACATCCTCCAGGCAGGATGGTTCTCATTCCAATGGTTATTTTACCTATAAATCCCTTCTCTGCGAATAGAAGTCAAACAGAAGGAAGATATACAAGACTTTGTCTGTTTAGGTTAAAATTTGCCAAACAACAGGATTCAATTTTTTTAACTTATCTTCAGTTTCTGAAGGTGGAAACAACTGGTATTTACAATGGTCTCTTGCTCTTCAGATTGTAGAACTATTTTTTGTGATATAATAAAAACACTGACAGTGGTTTAAAGATAGTTTTTAATTAATAAAGTGCCTGTTCTGTCACAGAATAAAGTGTGGTTGTCTAAACTGAAGCTAATCAGGCAGGTTTTCAGAGGACCTGGCAAGCACACGAAATCTGTGTTTCTGTGCACATGGATATGCACTTGTGTGTAATTGCTGCTATGCCAAGAGGGGTGAAACACCATCTTCTTGCAAGAAATTTGGCTTATAGCTGTCACCTTCAACATCCACAATCCTTGAAACAGAATAAGCACGTGGAACAAGCAAGTTCAGAAGAAAAAATATCCAGTACTCTTAAACTGAGTAAATACAGCCTACAGAAACATTTTCAAGCAGCTCAAATAACCTCTGGCTCCTACACTCGCCTATGCAACAGCTCTCAAATCAAGACAGCTACTTACAAAAAAAACACAACTCCTACAAATCTAAAAGTACACAATAGCTGAAAACCACTTCTGCACAAGTACTTTGAAGAACAACATCCCATGTAGCTGCAGTTGCCAGAACTTACCTTCCAGAACTAATAAACAAAAGGTCCAAGTGAGATCTGAGCTTTAAAGGATTCAGGAAGAATGAGCAAAACTAGTTTTGCAAGTCATACTCATTAAGATCCTAATGACACAGCCACAAAACTGGCATGTGARAAAGTCCAAGAAATCTCAGACACTAAATACAAGACTGATTTTCCTCTGGGTTGTAAGGTGGAATCAAGCTTATCACAGAAGAAGGGAATCATCACAACCAAGGCCAAGCTACAGAAAAGGCTTTAAATGAACTATTTGAGCCATGGTACTGCCATCCACTTTTCCAAGCTATCCTGAATGCTGAGGACTGAACTGTGACTCAGTTCAGCAGAAATCACTTGCTTTTGCCAAACTGCAAAAGAATATGAAGTCTCAACACTAGGCTGCCACTAGAAGCTCACTTAGGGTTAAAATGGTATTTTCAGTGAAACCAGGCAGATAAATCTAGTGAAGATACTAGAACATCTCCCAAAACCACAAACTTCTTCTTCAATCACTGTAAAATTATGGGTTTTTTTTTAATAAACTACCAGACTCGCAGCATCTTCTTTAGGYTAGCCTGATATTTTTAGCGTTCCAATTCACAGTGGGAAAGTACAGCTTAACTAGAGAGAACTTTCCCCAGAGTATTTTCACTCTTTTGATCTCACACATTCATCAAGAGGCATTAATTTTGTCCAGTCTCTTTTAGAGAGGGAGATGAAGTCCTAAAACAAAGGCACTCCTTTTATGATTTGCTCTTCTTTCCAGATTCCTTCCATTCTGCCTGTATACTTGGAAAACCAAAGGATTAAAACCCTGGCTTTAAAACAAATTTGGGGACAAATACCCWACTACTGCTTAGARAYCTKAAGACAACATTCTCACAGGTGTTAMAAGCAGCAAAAGTACCTCCTGGATGTTTCAAAAACTATGAGCTCCCTGTAAGTGCTGCAGCCCAGCTCTGAGGACACACCTCAGAGATTCATTGTTCTGTTAACACCAGCCAGATCCACTGACAATTCATAAAGCTAGAAATAGGCTTTGGGACATAGCAGCCACCAGGTGCATGAGAGAACCTGATTGTCCTTCTAAAAGCACTTTAAAAGGGTCTAAATTATTCAAATTCCCTTAATACCCGGAATATCCCAGGAACAGCCTGCAAAACAAAGTTTGGTCCTCAAGAGTTACAGCTGATAGGCTGCTGCAGCTTTCTGCTGACAAAAGCTATGCTGTGTTCKAAGTTGGGGCTTTTTCAAATGCAAAATGCAAAGAGAACCTAAATCTCAAATCCCTGCCCCACTCTGCTTCCTCAGAATAAAGTTCTCCATTAAGACTGTAACAGCTTTGCATCTAAACACCTGCAAATAAGTGCTATTTCATGTAGCCCTTTAAGAGTATTCCAAGGTAATACCTGGAAATCTGAAAACTCCAATTTCAGCACACCACTACAAGACTGAGTATACACCTGTGATGATCAAATGGGATTKGTTTCAAAGCAGGGGTTTTACATCTTTTTGTCCTTGGAACTTCGCAGCTAACAAATAATTTTCAAATTTAATGCAAACACTTGAGTCACAAATCACAGAAGGACTGGAATTAGTCATGCTTTCACTATAAAGGTAACAAATGTCACGACAACTATGTTCATCAGGTCTGGTTCCAAAACAGGAATGTTTAATATCTATTTTCCAACTGATACCTCAGAACCACAGAATAGGCAAATGCTTTTGCAAAACTTAAAAGAGAGAAAAAAGTATTTTACCTGTACATTTTGGGAGTAATAAATTAATAATTACATATTGACCAATGCAGCAGGAAAAAGAAGTCATTTTATCAAGTCTCCTTCCTTCCATTCTCTCCCCATTAATTCTCCCTCCGGTAAATCTCAACTCAATGAAATATCATTTAATTCCAATTAATTTTTCTAACTTTGTAAAGAAAGTGTGGACCAAACAACCTGCAACACTTGTAAGAGTTACAAGCTTGTTTTCCTTGGTCTGCTCATCATAGTAAATTTCCAAACTCCTGAACATTTTCACTAGTGTCAAAATTTACATGCTGCCAGATTGCTGTACAAGTCAGGTTCAGAAAAAAAACTATACAAAGAAAGTACCTGCTGCCTCCAATAAGGCTTCTAGTCGTGCTTGTGTTTCTGGATCCACAGTTCTCAAATCCGCACCTTCTGCAGCACTCGATAAGAATAACTCCGATGTGGTTTTAAGTACTGGGTTATCAAGATCTTCTTGGTCCAAAATAAATGATTCGACCTGTTTGCCAAGTTAGAAAAACAGTTTTAGCATTTTTGAAGCCTTAAAATAAATTTTAAATATTACAATAAAAAAATTACAAAAATAATATAACTGTACTATTATCACTGCATTTTAACTGCCAAGAATATACAACACAATGGCAAAAAACATATGGTCAACTCACTGAAGAATAGGAAAAAAATTTATTGCAGAAATTACAATTTAAAACACCTCAAATACAGCAAGGTCAACTCAGATTAAATACTGAGTAAGTGCTATGCATGTTTGCACAGTTAACCACTCAAGCAGGCTGCCACAAGAGGCTGTAACATCTTTGTCACCAGAAGCCCATCDACTGTGTTATTAAAAAAAGCCACCAGTAATGACTCTGGTACAGCTGGACCTATCTGAGTGCCAGGGAAAGATGGAATGTTTTTCCGACATGCCTTTCACTTCTCTTTTAAAAGTAAAYTCAACGGAGGTAGCACAAAGATTCTGTTTGTTTTGAGCAGGAACACAAGAGCTGACCAAAACTCAACACTGAAAGATCTAACTCCAAGCTGGCACTCAGTATTACCCCAGTCTCCAATGCTTTCTGGACAAGAACAGATCTGTAGAACGATTAAGGAGGCAGGTATTCCAACAGAGCAGCAATAATGCTGTCCCACCAGTGCCCCACGTGATCTCCAATACAAGCCCATGGAATTACTCAACATAACACACTGCAGTTYTATGACAGCTTGCCAGAGTAAACAAGGAGGATACCTGACTCACACTCTAATGAGACCAGAGCTACATTTCAGAATCTCCCAAGCTCAAACAAAATTTCCTCTATTTTCAGTAGTATTTTAAGACARAACCACTATTTAATAATTAGATGTTATCTGYTATTTKTAYYAACACTACTGGTGCCTTAAACAWGCCATATAAATGAGATATTCCTCTYACACAGCCACTGCTGCCCTCTCCCACTTCATGCCCCAGTCTCATCYTCCTTTCTCAGTCTTCCCCAAAACACTTCACCCTATTTTTCCTACCCCAGCAGAAAACCGTCATCTCATTCTGCCCTTCCCCAGCTCCCCCACTCCGGGAAAAGGACAGTTTATACTTAAAAAAATCAAATCAGGCCATCTGCAAATTCTTTAAGTGCCCCATTGTGTGAACAATGTTAACAGGATCTGGGAGCTGCATAGAGCACTGTTATTCAAGAGCAACTTGGGTTCGTTCATTTCTTTCCCTTTTTGATATGTAAATGGTAGTAACACTATCCGCTGGTGTCCAAGCCAGCCCTGTGTGCCAGTGAAATGCTAACATTGGACTATAATGAGAATCAGGGAGCAAGTATGACTTTTTAGGAACATAGAACATGAGGTCCACATCTCATTGGTTATATGTGATCCTGGCCAGCTTACAGACAGTAGATCTTGTGTGCCAGACAAACATTRAAGGCAGGCTCTGATTTGGTGCTCAAAGAAACAAAATTTCTAGGTTAGTCCAGGCAACAGTCCTAAAATAAGACAACTGTCATTCCAAGAAAGAGYTGAACATTAAACACGCAGAAAATTAGTGACCTAAACTAGTGACACACATTTGTACTACAGACAAAGAAGACCTATTTACAATTCACAGCAAAATGCATTCCTACAGTAGGATCCCCCTCAACAGAACCCAAATTCCAGGTTTGCCCATTGCCAGCTTCAAGACTCCCCACTTTCATGAGCTCTGATGCAAAACTGACTTCTGGGAAAATTCACCCTTACCTACTGGAGCACTTCAAGGTTTTTAATTTTTTCCCACAAGACTATACAAAGCACTAACATGATGGAAATATTACTTCTACTGCAACATGTTTGTGTGATCTGGTGAAGGGCAGAAAATCCCACTGTGTGTGTACATGACCACTCATTATATATAGCTGAGAACTAGATACARGAACTTTTATTAGATGCTAATGGACATTTTTCTTTGTCAACTACACCACTACATTTAACAGCAGTCCCCCTTCTGAGGAAATACCAAAAGGAGTAAAAATGTCACCTAGCACTGAACCAACTGCACTTGAGAACARCAAACACTGCAGAAACCTTCAGTGSATCTTGGCAAGCCTTAGTGTTCAGCCTTSGGAAGAGCCAGGCAATCCTCAGGCAAAGGGAAGCACAGCAGCCTTGCCAGAAGCTGTCCTGCTGCAGGTTCTAAAACTTCATGGTTTTGACACTTTGGGAAAGATATGGACCATTTCTTCCCTGACTGCTGCCAGCCCAAGCTCAGAGAGTACTACAGGCAACAATGCACCTCTTGAGCCTAAATCAGTGTTAATTCACCATTCACAAATTCTCAGCTCAAAAGGAACCTCTCCCCTCCCAACAGAGAATACATTTTGCTTACAGGAACCTCTAAAAAAGTCTGTCTTTTTAACAATRACTGTGCAACTGCTACTAATTAAAGTGGATAACACACAGTCTTTTTTACTTAAAGAGTATAAATTGGGTAGTACTGGTGCAATCCGCTCTTTTCAATATTATTTTCAATTCTGCTTACCTTTCAGCTCTTCTTTACACCAGCAACTGTACTTCCAGAGTACAGTACATTTAAATATACTTGCGTACTTAAAATCACACAAAAAAATCTAGCTTCATACACAATATTTTCATAATASTTTTATATCACAGGAAGGCAGATGCTTTCATTATTACTGCACATGTTGAGCATCAATTTTTAGGTTTTGTTTGATTTTAAGTAAGAGCTTAATAACATATTCACAACAAAAATATAAYTTGAGTGTGAAAATACTGAAAATCCATATGCAAAATGTTAAAATAACTGTACCACYGCCAGTCTCCCAGAACAAGCTTCAATGTATTTTCAAGTCAGAACGTCTGACATTTTGGTAAATCAATGCAGTTTCTCATGTACTAAGACAAAGCTAGAGAGAATGAACAKTTGGATATCTTATCACTAACAGGAGAGTGATAAATTACCTAATTGATCASATGTCTCTTGTGAATTGAAGTGACCTACAATGATCACATATTAATATTTTTTTTTAAATCAAACTAACCCAAATACATCAAACAAAATTGGCTTTTTAAACAAAAAAAAAACCTTCATTTAAATTTTTTTGAAAAGCAAATAAAAAGCCCAAACATATTTCCCATTAGCATTCCTGGAAGACAYAATACACAGCTCATGTGGCAAAATTTAGGCACTCTGTTCTATCCTAATCAGATCTGCAGCAAAGTGATAGAGTAACCAGTCACTGTGCTATTTTTGGATTATTTTGCGAGCTGCTTTGYGCAGTTAATAAGCATCTTACTTGGAAAGGCTCATTAAGAACACATAGATTCAAGATATTATTCTAACTGCCAAAAGAATTTCACCTTCCCAGTCAAAACCCAAGAAGCTGCACGGGACCTGAGGGCAGGGCTTCACTACACCGTGGGGCTCATGCTCTTCCACAGCTACAATGGACCTTGCCTGAAGTTCTGCCAAGGACTGCAGCAGCCTCGCAGCTCTGCAGATCCAGTTACACCACTGGTTCCTCCCTCCAGAGCAGCTACATCGCAGCTATGTGGACTCAACTTCATCAGTATTTATATGTTAATACCAGGGMTGAGTTTACTGCAGGTCAGGGGGATGTCAAGGGACTTTGCAGGCACCAACATCATCACTAACACTGGCAATTCTGGTGAGATGGACAATGACACGCAGGGTTACAACACATTTCTAATATTAAATCTAAACTGATCTTCTTTATGTTGCACTACTGCATAAGTACTTTTCCCAGAATAGCCCACTCACAAATAGCCTGTTCCTGACAGGCTACAGACAACAGAAAAGCTTCCTGGGTAGCTGTACAGCACTGTTCTCTCCTCCTGCRGGCAAGGGCACCACCGGAGACAGCTCATTCTACCTTCTCCTTCCATTTGTCCCAAACTACTGCTCCTGGGAAGACTATCTTTACAAAAAAAGTATTGATAGGAAAGAGAAAGCTGCTATTAAATCACCTCCTTGAACTTGTATTTTCCAGAAACACCTTGAGCTATGAACACTTTTTTGGGGTAACAATACTCTTTGTTCTGTTTGTAGAGTGCCTACAAATAATAAGATCCCAGCTCTTGACTGGGACTACTAAACTATTTTTTAATGCAAACAAAGGACTACTTGAATTTCTCTTTTATGTTAGGAAACCCTTCCTAGTTATTTCTATAACAATTCCATTTGTACATTTTTATTCTATGATTAACAACATGTGCAATGCTGTATTAAAATCACACTAGAAAGTTCTTGTGGATTCGTCCCAAGAACGACAAACCCAACTCTAATGGTTTATGTTGTCATGACCTTTATTAAACAGAATGGCCTAACTTGCAATCCTGCTCTAAAAATCTTAAGGAATACTGATAGGACATAGCACTAAGTTAAGACTGAAAATTACTTTGTATTTTAAATTTTATATCAAACCCCTTTAAATTTGCGTGTAAAGGATATCAGCTTCAAAATCCTTAAAAATAATTATTCCAAGGAGAAAATAAAGTACTCTGACATGACAATCTTAGATACTCCCTGCGACAAGTAAGTGTAGCACTACACCCTGAGGTGGACTTAACATCACCATAAGGTCTGGTTTTGATTTACCAGAAGATGCACTTTTCAACACTCTTCCTCTGACAGCCCAGCCAAACATTTTTGCACCTGCTTAAGGTGCCCTCCTGTACAACCATTTCAATTTCAAGAGATGGAGTAAAGGAAGAGGAAAAATCACACAATACTGTGGGTATTTTCACAAAATCTTTCAGTGGGATCTCAAGACACTGCCTTTCTTAGTACTTCAAAGCTAGAGRAAGAAAATAAACATTTCAGGGAAGTACTCCAGAGTCACTACCTAGAAACAACATAGAATCAATGGGAACAATCCAGATACAATGATATAAACCCATACCTACTGTTTGGCTTGAACTGTAATTTCTGAAGACAGTTTCTTCCATTTAAAAAAATAAAAAGTTCCAGCCCAAGAAGAC